TATATACTGAAAATGGTTGAAATCTGTCCTCTGGGTTTAGTAAGGTGGAAAAAATTTCCTTCTTTAAAGACACATTTTACGAGACAAACAGAAATCAATGTTATTTTGTATTTTATTCTATTTTATTAATGTTTGTTTATTAGTTTTAAACAACAACGTAACTATCTTTTTCTTTTTAGTACACTATATATATATATATTATTAAAATTAACTGTAAATCAATTAGAATTATTTTAAACTTTAAGTATTGATTAAGCAATGTGGCTACAACGTTTTTTAAATATATAATTAACTTTATTCAATTTATTATATTTACAAGTTTATGGTTATGTGTGTACATATATATATATTTCGTAACATTTATTCAAATTCTGTTTTTATTATAATTTTTTTACTTTCATGAAATAGTGTAATATGTTTTGTTATATACTATTGTTTTAAAAATTATTGATCTGAAAAATATAAAATTTTATATTTAAATATTTTTTGTTTTAAAAAAATTATACATTTTTATTAAGAAATTAGTTTTTAATTTGTATTATATTGTTTAAAAGTTTTTAAAATATTATATCTCAATATTTTATTAAGATATTCTCAATTATTTTCAATTACTCTCAATTATTCTTTTTACCTACCATTTAGAGAAAAACAAAAATTATCTTCAATATTCTTCTCAATTCTTCTATTTATCACTTTTCTTTTCTTCTTAATTACTTTCCTCTCAATTCTTCTATGTATTACCAATCACACCCTTAATGTAAGCCATTTGTACTCTTGAAAGAAAACTAAAGTGCTCCTTGATTCTTCCATTAAAATAGAAAAATAAGTTTTAAAATTTTAGGCCATGTGAGTCATTATAAAAATAAACACAAAAATTAACCAATATCCAAAAAGAGATTGAAAAGAAGCTTTATTTTATTAAAATCAATCAACAAGTGATAACACACCACGAAGGTAGAAGAACATTATATGATCAATATAAAGGATTGACATTAAAAACACACACCAAACAAGCTTAATCTCAAAGACTTAATAGTGACACAAATCCATAAGCATGGACCTTATTTTACGTAAATAAAGGGAAACTAAAGAACAAGTAAGCGATTGGTGAAAATGGGCACAACATGAACTCCAATCTGATGAACTAAATCACCAGCTTTTCCATGGAATCCAACGATCTTGTAACCATCCTCCTTAAGTTCGAAAAATTCACCACCACTCATTCCAAATGGTTGAGACGTTTTCTTGTTAGTCTTGAACGTAAGACTCGTCACTACTTCAGCTTCAACTCCAAAAACTTTGTCATAGTAACCTTCCACTGAAGTGATGTATTCACTTGGATAATCAAGCTCAAACTACGAAAAAAGAAGAGGAAAATTAGGTCAACAGTCCGAATCTTGAGAAACAAGAAAACATAAAAGCCTAACTTCTTGGTTACGTTAGAACAAACATATATAGAGAGAGATAGAAAGAGAACCGTTTCAGGATCTAGTAGTGTTTTTTTCCGCGACCATCGCCGAGGATGACTTGAGAGCCTTTGTTGTATTCAAACATGACGAAAGCTACACCGTCGTTTCCTTGACCTACAAGTATCTTTTTAACACCATCAAAAACACCATCATCCCAAGAAGCTCCTCCATTACCACCTTTTGCTTGTAGCCTTAGCATGAGAAGGAGTCAATGGAATAGACGAAGTAGTTATTGTTGTTGTTGGAGTGAAATAAGCACCAAGAGCATAAAGAACATCACTAGCTTTTCCATGGAATCCGGCAAGTTTCCCTCCATTACCGTCTTTAAGGTCGAATTTGTTCTCAGTCACCATTCCAAAAGGCTGTGATATTTTGCCCTTAAAGGTCTTGAAGACAATAGCAGTGACGATTTCGCTGTTAAAACCGAATACATTGTCGAGTGAAACCTCCATTGATGTAATGTAATCATCTGGATCGACCTCAAACTCCTCTGTTCCTAACAAAGTCTTTTTACCATGCTCTCGAGTCTCTATGTTCCCATCTTTTTCGTATTCGAATTTGACATAAGCTACACCGGAATCTCCTTGACCAATGTAAACTTTTCTTACATGATCGAAAGAACCATCGTCGAATGTTGTTCCACCATTTCCTCCTTGAGCTTCTACTTTGTTAGGAGAAGAGCAACGGTTTAGAACAAAGTAAGTTCCTGGAGAAGTGAGATTCGAGTTCGCGAATCTATGAACACCGATGATCTTCTTATTCTTAACTTGAAGAGAAAATGGTGTACCATCATCCTCAGAAAGTTTATAACCAAAGAAATCAGAACTGTTCTTCTCGGGTTTAAACTTAATTCCTTGAAAGACATTGGAAGAATCATACCAACTCTCGACGAAAATGAGAAACTCATGATCAGGATGATTGCTTATCACAACCTACAGAAATTCAAAAGAAAACTTTGATAAAAATGTTAGTATAATGTGTGTAAATTAACATTCGAGAGTTCAT